AAAAGATATTAGATCTTCACCTACGGAAAGCAGCCCTGGTACCAGCTCTCCAACAGCGAGGTGAGTCTGCTGGAGGGGTTCTTCCTCATTAAAGCAAACAGGGCTATTATAACACTGAGTGCTGTTATAACGAAGAAGAAATTATTCGTAGGACAACAGGGAACTTTCCGTCTGTTTTTGTTACTTCAGTTCAAGTGATCAAAGTTGAAATGTGAAGGCGTGAGGAAGAAGCAAAATAATATTTTTAATATTTCAGGAGCAGAGACATTTTTGAAAAGAAAGACAGGGGAAAAAATTATTCAATAAAAAATTATAATCATCAGTCCAGTAAATTTCTCTATGACACACAACAAAAGAAACAAAACAGTCACATTTTAATTATATAATTACATTAAAAGAAAACTAATAAATTAATTATCGATAAATATTTACTGCCAATGTTTAAGTGTCAAAATATATAATTGATATTAAGAGATAGGGGAAAAAAGAATTTAATAGAAAATTATAATCATCAGGAAATGTCTGTAACACACACAACAAAAGAAACAAAACAGTCACATTTTAATGATATAAATACAGTAAAAGAAAAATAATAAATCAATTATGGATAAATATTTATTGCCAATTTTTAAGTGTGAAAATATATTATTAATATTGAGAGATAAGTTTGACTAATTTGGATACACTTTCGATGGATGTGTAAATAAACTCAAACCATCAGAAATTTGATTAAATAGTTGTGGGAAATGTTTTAAATCGGTGATATATTCCAGGTTATTCCTCAATAATTTTTCTCTTACTATTGGTTCTATGTTGTTATAAATAGGACTTTTTTATTTTGAAAATTCATACATGCAAATAAATGTTTACTGTTCTCTTTGAGAGTTTGCATTAAATTAAAAGGTGTGAAGCTAAAGCTAGCAGCCATTTAGCTTAGCTGTTCGGTCTCTAAACAGTGTCATTTTAATATCTAGTTTTTACAGATATTTGGAAAAAAATATACAATTCAAAAGGCTTTAAATGTCAGTTCAGATGTGGTGTTAGGTTGAGCGAGAGTAGCAACTAGCTTCAAGCTAATGTTTGACAAGCTAAGCTATGCTAAACTTTATTAGGATAGCTAAGCTAATTTGCTGCTTGCAAAGGTTTAATTTGGGGACTACATTAAACTTTTACAGCTTTTACTGACTTTTAAGGGGATAAACAATTAATATTCTATCAAATACTGAAAATAGACAAACTAAAGATAAACAATATGTGAAAAAGAGATTTTTAATGTTTTGGAAAAGCCAGGAAAGACCATTCCTGACTGGTCAAAATCTACTCGGGAAAGGGGTCAAACTCTTAATGGTAAAAACTATACAGGTATGATCTTTTTTTGGGAAATATAGATAAATAAATTCGAGAAATCTTAAGTAATTGTGAAGTAAAACTTCAAAACTGCTGGTCTCTGCTTTTTGTCTTTTTTTATCAGATTTTGATGAAATTTGACCATAAATGTCAAGTTGTCTGTTTTAACTTGACATTGCAACCTCAGACTCCCTCAATTTGCTTGATTTTCAAAACCTGAAGAAATGAAACTGCCCTGCCGGATAACTAATCAGTTTCTGGGTTAGTGATTTTGGTCAAGTGTCCCTGAAATAGACATTTTAGTCAGACAGTATTCAGGCAGAAACCCTTCAAAGAACCTAATTTAATTTTAACAAACCCTGGAGAAAGACAACCAACCGACAATGTTCCTACAGAGAATGCAAAGCTTGTCTTTTTAATTTAGTCCTCCAAAATCCTTTAACTACATATCATTCGCTGAACATTGATACTCATGGACACCAGATTTAGTCAATTATGGTTTGTGTCTAGTCATTTTTTAGAGACTGAGCGAGTCACATGTTAGATTTTGGTTATAATTACTCCCTTTAGCATAGTATGCTATAAAATTATCTATGTAAATTACTGATTATTGTATTCCTTATGGAACCATAACTTTGTGTTAAAGTCTCTGGCTGTGTCCACAGACTCTGTTTTTTCTCTGTTTACCATTTGTTATCACATACCATCAGGTCAACACAAAAACTCACCATTGTTACCACATTTCAATGTTATCTGCATGAATTAGGACCTGGCCTGTTCATGTCAGGGTTAGGGGTAGTAAGTAACTGGCCAAAAAGCAGTGTCCAGTCCTTTTTGAGGAGTGTGCCCAGCCTAGAAGACAAAAACCCATCACACCCAGATCTCAGGGCTCTTTGCATTCTCATCTGCATGAATTAGGACCTGGCCTGTTCATGCCCAGAGGTAACTAACCAATAGGACTTGGTTGTGTCCAGTCCTCCTTTGAGGAGGCGGATGGAGCCCAGGAGATAATGTCCATCACCCAGATCTCAGGGCTCTTTGCCCACTGAGACCCAGAGAGAGGTTTTTGTCTGTTATACTTAACTGTGACCAATAAATGTAATTTTTTAAATACTTTTGATCCACTCTGGTTTATTCCCTGGTTTCCAACTAAAGAATCGGGCTAACAGGATCAATAAAGAAAGTTTTTGATGTGATGATGGAAACATCTGTACATCTGGAAAGTATCTATTCTGTATCTGACTGAGCACCGAATAAAGGACGAATAAACAGGAAAAAAAAACTAAACTAAACTAAAGAATCGGGTTAACACACTGCAGCTGCTTTTTTTTTTTTAAATTTTTAAAGCTAATTCTATCACGTCTGTCAAATCAAATGACATCAACTTTGTCTGTAGCAGAACTGTGTGAAAGGCCTTTTAGAACACAACAGTTTTATTGCCTCTGTGGCTCCCCGACACCCTTAAACGGATCGATACGCTCGTAATAATTGTCTGGCCCTTTCAGCTTAAGCACCCAGACGCAGGTCTCCACGGCGACCGCACTGGAGCTATTACAGGCCCCGACCCTCTCCCCTTTCCAACCCGGGGTGTATCACGTTCCCCCCGAGCTCGATCCAAATCGCATTGGCTCCGTTTCGTTTATGCCGGCGCGCGCTAATCGTGTTAGCGCGTTAGCTTAGCTAATGGCGTTAGCGCGTTAGCTTAGCTAACCCGCCGGGGGTGAGACGGTGGCGTAGACTCGGAGAGTCGGAGTCGATTCGGACCAAACTTACTGACTGTGGGGGGGGGGTTAGGGTCAGGGTTAGGGTTAGAGTGCAGTCTGGAGGAGCTTCGGTTGGATATCCAACTCCTCCCACATCCAAGTCGGCCATTTTGATTGGGTCATATGACTAGCAGCTTTCTGAGGTGAAACGAAACGAAACTTTACTGTCTATATGAAATCGGAAGATAAACAATGTCCTAACCCTAACCCTAACACTGACACTGACCCTAACCCTGACCCTAACCCTTAACCTAACCCTGACCCTAAGCCTAACCCGAACCGTAATCTTAACCCTAACCCTAATTCAGTGTTTGCAAGATTCATTTCACTATTTTTAAATTTAGGATTTCCTTACCTGGGATCTTCCTATTGGTGACCTAATCAAAATGGCCGACGTGGGCAGAGTTGGATATCCATCCTTGGCTTCCTACAGTCTGCAGCCAGACGTACTTGGGGTCGGCCGCCACTTTACCGGAGGCGCTCTGACTTCCTCTCTACAGTGATTTACTCACTGTAGAGAGAGAGAGAGAGAGAGAGAGAGAGAGAGAGAGAGAGAGAGAGAGAGCCATTAGTGGGCGAGCGGGATGTTATTCATATTTTGGCTGCTCTCCTTTTTGTCCCTGAGGTTACAGCTAATGGACAGATATCAGTAAATCTGTAAGCAACCCCCCCCCCCACCTAACTCCCAACCCCTGAAAAAATTTAGTTGAGAAGACTCGATTAAAAAGAGCCTCTACAGGAACCGCCCAGATGCTCATTTCTTATCTCACATTTTGAATTCACAAAACCGTAAATCCTTTACGCGTTTATTCGGAGGATTTAACGGTTTCAACGTCAAAACGAGTTGATCTCAAACCAGCACAACACTATAGCTGCGCACGCTGATGATCTTCTGTACTAAAACCCCTAGTTTGTATGTTAATAATCCTCTTAACGGCCTAAACGCTTACCGAATAGGGGCGAACGATGATGGTCATGAGAGTTTAAAATTCTCGAAAGTCCCCATTAGGAGTCTAATTTGAGCAGAACAGTTATCCTACTCTGCTAAAACAAAGGTTCTGCCAAAATAACATTAGTATTAGGTGTTTGGTTCTACTTTTAGCAGAACACAATAGCTAAATGTTAGCCAACCCTTAGCTTAGCTTAGCCCTAGCATAACGCTAATATTTGCAGAGCAGGCCAACTGTTGTGGCTGTTATACTCTCTGTTTGCTTGATTTCTTTCATTCAGATTTCTGTTAGCCAATTTAAAAAAAAGCTTTTTCATTCTTTACAAACCTGCTGTTTGGTTTACTTTTAGCAGAACAGAACAGCTAAATGTAAGCCAACCATTAGCTTAGCCCTAGCATAACAGGACAACTGTTGTGGCTGTTATGCACCGGTTTAAGCCCAGAGAAAATGTCCCTTTTTGAGTGTGTTATGTGTGAGGCTTTAACCCCCTTTGCGTCTTCGACAGGCCATTGAATGCATCACGCAGGGACTGGAGCTTCATTTTATTCAGACTTCTGCTTACCTGATAAAAAAAAGTTTTTCAGTCATTCTACTTTTAGCAAAACAAAATAGCTAAATGTTAGCCAATCATTAGCTTAGCTTAGCCCTAGCATAAAGCTAATATTTAGCAGAGCAGGACAACTGTTGTTATACACCGGTTTAAGCCCAGAGAAAATGTCACTTTTTAATTTTTTTTTTGTGTTTTGTGGGAGGTGGAACGGCTCCATTGGCTGGAGGCTTTAACCCCGTTTGCGTTTCCAACAGGCCATTGAATGCATCACGCAGGGGCGGGAGCTGGAGAGGCCGCGCACCTGTCCCAAAGAGGTGTACGACCTGATGCAGGGCTGCTGGCAGAGGGAGCCCCAGCAGAGGATGGTCATCAAGGACATCCACAGCCGGCTGCTGGCGCTGGTCAAGAACCCGCCCGTCTACCTGGACATCCTGGGCTAAAGGGCCCAGAAGGAACCAGGAACCAGGAACCAGGAACCAGAGGCCCTAAACCAGAGGCCCTAAACCAGAGGCCCCTAAACGAGGGCGGCGTAGCTTTGAGAGCTTCTGTTCGTTTCCAAGTTCCACCCTTGGAAAGTTCAGTTCAGGAAACCGGAGGTGAAGTTTTTTTAGAAGACGTTTCAGAATCAGAATCGGAATCAGAATCAGAAATACTTTATTTCTTTAATCAGGACAGTGCACATTAATGAACAATCTCATACAGATTGTAAATGAGCCAGATTATATAGCATAGTTGCTAATTTACATCTGTCGTCCTGCTAATAATCCCAGAGGGAAATTATTTGGCCTCTGATCCAAAAAAGCTTCTCCAGCTCTAACTGATGGTGGAGCTCTGAGCTGGAACTAAAGAATTAGGGGAGAAAACCAAAGGTGGCTCTGGTCCCTCCTACTGGATGGGCCATGGAAGTCACCTGGGGGGGGGGGTTAATGTTTATTAGAGGGCTCTGATTGGTCAGTAACTCCCTGGTCAGACTGGTTTGG